CTCATGTTTATATGGAAGCATCCCCAGGTGTGTAGATTCAAGTTTGTTTAAATCATGACCCGGGGTTAGGGCGGGGCCAAACTGTTAGATTTAATCTTTTCAATAGTAAACCAATTTCTCCTTTTTCCTAGCCACAATGCTCGGGTGAGCGATGTGGCCCATGGGTCTCTTGTCTTTTTTGGTGGACCCTTTTACTACATCTTATTAATTTTACAACCCCCCTGAAGAGTATGCTATATCCATGAAATGTTCTACTCAAAGTCATTGTAGGGATTGTTCTGAAATCCTTGACCTTCGTTATACAAAACAGTTTGTAGGCAAAGAGAAGTAACTCTAATGTTCTTAACTTTATGTTTTAAAAACACCTACTTTCTACTTAAAAGAAGGTTTATTGTTAAAAACAATTAGATATAATTTCACACTCATATTTTTGACAACATTTTGGTACGAATGGACATTGTATCTAATACTTTAAATGTCCAGTAGAGCAATCTCTTCTTTAAAAAATATCACTATAGAATCTGCGGCGCAACTTTTCTTGGAAAGAGTCTTTCCCGCTGCAACAAATCCCAGCATCACGCCATGTTGCAGTGGAAGACAATTTACATGTTTTATATATTTGTCCGTTGTTTGGCGTAATTTTCAACAGAAATTATAATACATATATGAAAAAATATAACTTCAATTGAAAGATCAAGGTTCCCTTATTTAGGCCCTTTTTGAATAAGTGATTGTTGAATATTGAAATGACGTGTTCAGAAGGACTATGGTTGCAGGGTTAAGGACATCATATGCAACGTACCTTATCTACCCAAATTTTTCCAAGATATTCCTAATTCAAACTTATAATATCATGATCTTAGAAAAAAAATCAGCATGCGTTACCAAGGGTTTAAAAAAGATATGGAATTTTGAAAATATTTGCATTATTCAAATAAAAATGTACAAAAATTATAAGACATAAATTCCAGATTTTTTTTCATCAAAAATTGTTTTAGAAGAGGTGTACAAATCCATATTTAGAGATAAAAAAATTTTGCACACAGGTCCTTCATTTAGTGGAACTCTTCAACTCCAGGGAAGAATCCAAAAAAAGTTCAAACTACGTAGCGTATAACCTTAAGAAGAACATGGACAAGATGGAGGATTGGATGGATGGATATCTAGGCACTGTAAATATTTTGTAATTAAACAGTTTGAAAGCCATATTCGATGTTTATTCATAGGTTGTGGTCTGCACCTAAAAAAACCCCAGAAATCTCTGACAGGACGGTCGCTCTACTGCTTTATTGTTATAACAAAGGAAGATAAAAGTAGCATTTGAACTAGAAGCAAAACCTCAGAATTTTAAAAAATACTATTGGTTTAGTCTTTTCTAGGCAAATGTTTATTGCAATCAAACCAAAACTGTAGGTTGGTTGGTTGGTTGTATATTGTTTAACGTCCCTCTCCAGAATATTTCACTGATATGGAGACGTCACCATTGCCGGTGAAGGGCTGCAAATTTAGGTCTATGCAGGGCACTTACGGTCCTTGACTAGGGAGGGATCTTTATCGTGCCACACCTGCTGTGACACGGGGCCTCGGTTTATATTGTCTCATCCGAAGGACCGCCCCATTTAGTCGCCTTTTACGACAAGCATGGGGGTACTTGAGGATCTATTCTAACCCGGATCCCCACAAGAACCAAATCTATAGGAATATCATTTGAAAATATTTCAAAGAAATGTCTATTTCTAGTAACCATGGCAACACCGTTCTCATCGAAATCAAAAACCGATAATAGAATTATGTATTATTTTAGTCTGGTCTACTTGTGTTGAAATCAGACCAAAACTGTGGGAGGAGTAGCATTTTGAAAATATTTTCACAGAAATTTCTATTGTATTGTTTACAGATGCACAGACAGACAACTGGACGGACAGACATACCCCTTACTATCGCATAAGCTCTTCGACTATTAGAGCTATAAAAATTAAAGAAGCTGCTATAAAAATTAAAGAAGCTGTGCATTTCAGTAAGTTTATTATTAACATTTAGATGAGAATAAAATTCATTTAAGGAACATATTACATGTACATGTAATTGATAACACGTGAAACTGAACATTTCTTTAATCAATTACAAATGTCCACTGATTTGATATACAAAATATACACTGAAAACTGTAACAACTGAATTAAACAACATACTGTAAACTTATGACATTAAGCTTTGTATACTTTCTAGAACATTTGGTGGTAAGAAACTCTCCCTTATTCAAATACACTTGCTAAATGTCTTGTACTTATATTCAAATACGAACATTAGGTCATGAGCTAAATCAAATCAAATCAACACCAACTTGTCCCAAATTCAATTTTCGCCAAATATCGCACATGATGCATATAATACGTTTACAGTACACATATTACATATCATGAAGTATATATAAACAGTTATATATAAAACTATATAAACATTTCCACAAAGGTTAAAAAAAAATAGATGATCTAAGTATATGTCTGAATATGTGCAACGATACGTTCAGGTTCCATTAAAAAACTTTAAATATATTGAAAATAAATGCTCAAAAACTTCTGTATATGTACCTTATAGTAAAATGAATGATAAGCATCTCTATATTTGTTTTATTATGTGATTTATTAAAAAAATATATAAAATAAGAAATATTCTGACTCTTTTAAATATTTTTTTTTAAATTCTTCCTTTTCTATTTCAAAGATTTCTCTGTTTTAATTGTAAACAAATGTAATATTATATCATGCATCATATGTATAAATAAATGAACAATACTTGAAAAGAAAAACCATGAGAGACAATTGAGGGCAACAAAAGAGTAAAGATAAAGAAAAATTAAGCATTCACACAATTTAGCAGCAACTCATGATACAAACTTCTTTTCAACCAAACAATTGACGCATTACAGCCATAATATAAAATATTGAAATATGGAAACAAAAAAGGACCCTTCTCTTAATGTCAAGAATGAACAGGTAAAATTTAATTATTTGTAGAGAATGGCAGTTTCCACTCAATGCCATTTGTGACTAAAATTGTTCCAACTTTGCAGAATGATTCAAAATGAGAGTGGATGCACTAAGTTTTTTTTCGTTTGCATGGTGAATTGGACAATTTAGGACCATTACACGCTTAGCTTGGACTTTCAATAAGTCGTGGCATTCTTGATGTTACCTAATTATAAAAATTAGCTTCTGAAATTTACACAGCTTCCCGTCACTGTTGAAATATACATATGATAGAAATGCGACAAAGTGTCAACTGATATAGTAAATAGCCAATTAAAAGTTCTCTCATGGCACAGAGGTGGGGCATAAGTCGTCTAATCGTTATCAACAACAGTTATGTTATTGATTTCGTAACCAATGAAAATCTACTAGTATTCACCATAACGTAGTGCCGAGAAAGTTACGCCCTACTGAAAGTCCAAAGAAAGGGTAAAATCGTTCTATATAATATACAACAACATATACTGATTAAAGACTGATCTCTTTCTGAAGCAAGTCTTAATTCTTGTAAATAATAACAAATCAAAATTTCAAGACACCTTTTAAAGAGAGGGTAGCTAAAACATTGCGTATAATGTCAGGACATAAGCTCTTATTTTTATAATTTTTTTTATGTACACTATACGGTATTACTTTTTTCTAAAGAACATCAACTTTCACGTTTCTTTGATTTAATCAGCACTATCTTCCTTTCAGCACGTTTTAGGTATTCAAACAAATCATCAATTTTAAAATATCGGTATCAGTAAAATCTTGTCCAGAGTCACCATTCTTTCTTTTACTGTCTCGCACATTCTTCAGCACCCGTAACTCTTATATGCACACATGCAACGATTTTAAAAAAAGTATCGCTTATCCTAAACTCACTGAACATTTGTCTTCTTTAACCTTTAACAAACAGACCATGCTAGAATAACAAACAATCATCCTTGCTGAACGTTACCCTGACACTAACATCAACCCAAACATCCAGGAGAATAATATCATCTCTATAAAATTATCCACCAAAAAACTATGTCCACCAATCATTCTAAACAAAAAAAAAAGTAATGCAAACTTTAAATCATCAATCGATTCTGCAAAGATTACAGTCTTAATTTTATTAAAACGATTTCCACTCTATATATAATAATAATTACCATACATGAGTGCTAGCAGAATTTTCACAATTGCATTTATCCTATCCTCTTGTAAATGATAATTAGCCCCAGTCTGTAGCATTTCCTTCAAATATTAAATCTCTAGTGAGTATTTATAACATCTCACCCTCATCTGCTGTTACCAGTGGAGTACTTATCTGACAAAACCTTAATGTTTGATATCAGTCTGCTCCTATAGCAGCTACTCATATGTCCACCCGGCATGATGCTGTCAGTGGAACACGATACCTATTAAGTTCATTGAGACCAGTTCATATCCCTAGGAGCTCCTTCACTACACTCGTCCTACACATATTTATCATCCATTATATGCTACTTCAGTAGTGTATTAATATCACTCTGTTGTTCGATATTAGCTCCAACTTCTATAAGCTCCTTCACTACACTCATATGTCCACTTTTACATGCTGCTATCAAGTAGTGTATTATACTTTTTGCTTATTGATATCAGCTCCAGCTTCTAGTAGCTTTTTCAATACACAAGTATGTCCACATTAATATGCTGTAGTCAATGGTGTATTATACTCATGTTCCTGATTGATATCAGTTACAGTTTCTAGTAGTTCTTTCACTACACTCGTATGTCAGCATGGGCAACAGCATAATGGTGTTTTTGACTTATCTTGAATGTTATCTGCTCCCGCTTCTAGTAACTCCTTCACTAAACTCACATGTCCACCCTCACGTGCTGCTGTCAGTGGTGTATAAAATTCACCTTGTTTATTGATATCAGCTCCCACTTCTATAAGCTCCTTCACTACACTCATATGTCCACCCTCACATGCTGCTGTCAGTGGTGTATGTAACAAACCTTGTTGATTGATATTAGCTCCGGCTTCTATTAGCTCCTTCACTACACTCATATATCCACGCTCACATGCTGCAATCAGTGGTGTATCATACCCACCTTTTTGATTGATATCAGCTCCGGCTTCTATGAGTTCCTTCACTACACTCATATTTCCACCCTCACATGCTACTGTCAATGGTGTGCCAAACTCACTTTTACGATTGATATCAGCTCCGGCTTCTATGAGTTCCTTCACTGCAGACATATGTCCACCCTTACATGCTACTGTCAATGGTGTATCATCTCCACCTTGTTGATTGATATCAGCTCCAGCTTCTATAAGCTTCTTCACTACACTCATATATCCACCCTTATATGCTGCTGTCAGTGGTGTATCAAACTTACTTTGTTGATTGATATCAGCTCCTGCTTCTATAAGGTCCATCACTACACTCATATGTCCACCCCCACATGCTGCTGTCAGTGGTGTATGATACGTACCTTTTTTATTGTTATCAGCTCTGGCATCTATAAGCTCCTTCACTACACTCATATGTCCCTTATAACATGCTGCAGTCAATGGTGTGTCATACTTACCTTTTTGATTGCTATCAGCTCCGGCTTCTATAAGCTCCTTCACTACACTCATATGTCCCTTATAACATGCTGCAATCAGTGGTGTGTCATACTTACCTTTTTGATTGATATCAGCTCCGGCTTCTATAAGCTCCTTCACTACACTCATATGTCCACGCTCACATGCTGTTGTAAGTGGTGTACAATACAAATCTTGTGGATTGATATCAGCTCCGGCTTCTATAAGCTCCTTCACTACACTCACATCTCCACCTTTACATGCTACTGTCAATGGTGTGCCAAACTTACTTTTTCGATTGATATCAGCTCCGGCTTCTATGAGCTCCTTCACTACACTCATATGTCCACCCTCACATGCTACTGTCAATGGTGTGCCAAACTCACTTTTTCGATTGATATCAGCTCCGGCTTCTATGAGTTCCTTCACTACAGACATATGTCCACCCTCACATGCTACTGTCAATGGTGTGCCAAACTCACTTTTTCGATTGATATCAGCTCCGGCTTCTATGAGTTCCTTTACTACACACATATGTCCACCTCTACAAGCTGCTGTCAGTGGTGTGTCATACTTACCTTTTTGATTGATATCAGCTCCGGCCTCTATAAGCTCCTTTACTACACTCATATGTCCACCTCTACAAGCTGCTGTCAGTAGTGTTATAAACCCATCTTGTTGATTGATATCAGCTCCAGCTTCTATAAGCTCCTTCACTACACTCATATGTCCATGCTCACATGCTGCTATCAGTGGTGTATTATTCTTACCTTGTGGATTGATATCAGCTCCAGCTTCTATAAGCTCCTTCACTACACTCATATGTCCACCCTCACATGCTGCTATCAGTGGTGTATTATTATTACCTTGTGGATTGATATCAGCTCCGGCTTCTATAAGCTCCTTCACTACTGTCATATGTCCACCCTTACATGCTTTTGTCAGTGGTGTATCAAACCAACCTCGTTGATTGATATCAGCTCCGGCTTCTATAAGCTCCTTCACTACACTCATATGTCCACCCTCACATGCTGCTGTCAGTGGTGTATTATACTTACCTCGTTGATTGATATCAGCTCCGGCTTCTATTAATTTATTCACTACACTCATATGTTCACCCTCACATGCTGCTGTCAGTGGTGTATCATACTCACCTTGTTGATTGATATCAGCTCTGGCTTTTAGTAACTCCTTCACTACACTCATATGTCCACCCTTACATGCTGCTCTCAGTGGTGTATCAGCAAACAAATATAGGGTTTTTTTGTTTGTAATTTTAATATCAACATACTTTATCAAAATTATTACAGTCTCCAAATCACCACTGTAACAACTCAATACAAATAAGCGGTCATGTTCAGAAACAAAACGAATATTTTTCTGTTTTTGATTAGTTGTATCACAAATGGAGTTTGATAAAGATAATTTTTCTGTTGCATCATTTTTTTCAATGTTATTTTCTCTTTTTTTTTTGCTTCATAGATTAACCTGGGGCTAACGGAATTCCAAAATAGTCCAGTCTCTGTTTCTTTGTGTAATTCAGTTTGTTGTAAAATATATTGTAGGATCTGATTGTGTCCGTAGTAAACCACCCAACTGATAACCCTCACACTGTATGTTTTTTCTCTATAATCACCCTTCTCATTCACCAGCACCTTCTGTCTGTACCACTCCCTGCTCCTCTCATCCCTCCTCTCAATCTTCTCCATCACACACTCTCCTTTACTCACAACCTTAGATACATCCTTCTGCACTGACAGAAATAAAGACTTTAACTCTGTGTAAGACTTGGTCTCTAACACCTCAATAAAAGCCTGACACACCCTAGTATGTTTCAAAATATTATTCATAAAAACATCATACAGCTCCATATTTTCTATGTCTCTGTACAATCGCTCTGCTAACATTGGATACTGATGCTCTCTTAACCTAAGACTGAGATCAAACAAATCCTGGCTTCTTTTACTACTTAATGTTTCATGCTCCTCACCACTAAACTCTTCATTTTCAACTTGTTTACATTCAACCTCTGACTCTCCTTTACATTCTTGTACTTTTACGCTATCTTTACTTGCATGATGTTATGCTTTTGGAATGAAGAAAAATTATGACTAATAATATTTATAAAATAATTAATATTGCTTTCTTCTTGAAATTTATATGGAGATGTTACAATCAAAATTAATACCGACCATAGGATTTTAATTACATTACCTAAATGAATGATTCAATATACATTTACCATAAGACTTCTCTGTGTTAATCTTTACTACGCTAAAAATCCTTTTGTTGTTTTCAGCAAAGCCAAAATGTAGAAATGACTACAAGCTTACTATCGTCATTACTTTTGACATTCTGTGAGAGGATAAATGGAAAAACCCAGGTCAGTTAATTTGATTAAATATTAAGACTAAAATACGTTAATTTGATATATTTTATTTTGTTCGCTATCGATTTAGTAACACGCAGCAAATAATAACGTAAATACATGTAGCATCAAATGAAAATTCAGCATTTTAAAACGGCCGATGATATGTACCTCAATAGATACAATGTCCATTATCTTACTTAAATCTGTATTTTCGGTGGGAAATGAAGATTTCGATTTCATCACATTAATGCAACTAATTTTAGATTGAATATTACACTAATAACCTACCGAAAGAGTAATATACACAAAACAATACCGAATTTTCTTATCATGCTCATTTTTAATGCGGTATTAACAATGTTGAGGACCCTTCTTAGGCTTCCTCAAGAGTTGCTGATGATTTTCTGACCAGGTTGAAGATGATTGACTTTATATTTCCCGTCACAGGAAGTAAGAGGATAGCTAAAATTGTTCCTCTCGTTTTTGGTAAATTTCTGATAATTTTGCTTCCACACACTTCCTGGCATCACTCATCCAAACATTCACTCCCTTCTCCGATGTGTATATTATCACATGAACCTAAATTTTACTACCATGATTATTTTAAAATCAAACGTAAAAACAATCAGCATTTTTTGTTATTTTCTTCTTTGGTAACAAGTTTGGTTTGATTCCTGAAAAAAAAATCAAGATCAAACATTATCATTCAATACTTAAAGAATCATTGACACAGTTTCAGTTAAAAAATGTTTTATCTTTCAAATTTTGTTATGTTCCCATATACTTAACTTAGGTATTTCTAATGATCACCCAAAGTTTAAATTTCTATCGTTGAGATACAAGAGAGATTTAAACCACCCAACCTTTTTTATGTAAACAAGGTCTGTGTCCTATTTTAATATAAGAAGGATATGTAGATAACGAACAGTATTCAATCTCAAAGTCCATAAAACAATACAAAATAAGAGCAGAGCAAACACGGACTCCCGAAACATCAGAAGTGGGATCAGATGCCATGGAGGAGTGAGCATCCCCTGCTGACTGGTCACACTCGTCGTGTGCTCCTTGTCCTTGTTGAATATGTCAATATATGTGAATACTAAGCAGTTGTTTTTTTTTTTCAATAAAAACGTAAATTCTAAATACTTATAGACAGTTTCTAGTGATTTTCTGAGTTTTGTTTTGCTATGAGCATGATATTTACCTCCTTTGTAATTCAATAAATGATGTTACAAAATTTGCTGATCACTAGAAGTGCCTTAGTTAGGAATTGTAAACATTAAATTTGGTAAAAAAAACAAAACAATTAAGCTTAAAGTGTGTCAATGATCCTCTCGGTATTTAGAAAAAAAGAAAGACATAATTACTAGAATGTCGAAGGATTGTCGTTTTAAAAAAAATCGTTTGTGAAAGAACTTTTTTGTTCATTTCTCAATAATTAAAGTAAATCATGCTTAATTAAAAACGTTCTTCTTTACTTTTTGGGGGTTAGGGGTCATCAATGTTCTCGACACTGCTACTGTATCACTTTAACACAACAATCGTATCTTTAAAGAGTCGCTTCTGTAAAAGAAATTTATAAAAATTTAAATTGATTTCTGTAAAAACGGTTTAATGCCAAAATGATTTGCCAATTCGCGATCATTTTGCCAGACTCTAATTATTAACCATCGTCGGATACATTAACTGGTAGGTTCTAAATCGCAATAAATCGCTGTGTGTAAGAATGTGTTCAAAGTCACGTTTAGATTATTTAATAAATATCAAGTTAAATGCTTAACATCAAACAGAATTATACCGTTCACGGTAGCTCAGTCGGTAGAGCGCTCGCTCCGTGATCGGGAGGTCGTGAGTTCGTATCTCGGCCGCGACTGACCTAGTCGTTAAAATTGGTAGCAACTGTTCCTTCGCCATGCGCTCGGCACTTTGAAGTGAAAGTTGCGGGTCCTTCGGATGAGACCTTAAAAACCGAGGCCCCGTGTCAGCGGCAGGCGTTGGCACGATAAAGATCCCTCACTGCTCAATGGCCATGAGTGCCGAGTAAAGGTCAAAATTTGAAGCCCTTCACCGGCATACGGTGACGTCTCCATATGAGTGAAAAATTCTCGAGAGGGACGTTAAACAATATACAATCAATCAATCAATCAAACAGAATTATGAATAAACTATATGTTCTAAACAGAATTGATATACTCAGTAAGATATTTTCACTATATAACTCTATATTGACGAACAGTCGATAATTGAAATATTTTTTTACCCGAAAGATATCTACCGTCAATATGGACATTCTTTTAATTTGCAAAGAATTTTAAGGAAAATACTTGGAAATGTAAAGAAATCTTTGACAACATCTCAGTACGAACAGACATGGTATCTGGTACTAAAAGTGTGTAGTACAGCAATCTCTGTAGGGATACCAGAAGATTGAAAGATTAACAAGTCAAGTAGAAGAGTGTTTAAGGTGAAGAAAACGAGCAGAGAACAATCTCAAAAATTATCAACAAAACTGAAAAGAGCATAAACACGGACCCTGGAAATTTCAGAGGTGGGATTTGGTGCCAAGGAGGAGTAAGCATCCCCTGTTACCGGTCACACACTCGGTGAGGTTTACCGGTATCTATTGATCAGGTAGACGGAACATAAAGTAGTCTATTTCAGTATTAAAAAAGGACTATCAATTAGTATGAAAAAATACGACCTAATGATAGGCTATATTTGCCTGTATGTTTGTTTTAATATTATGTTGTCAATATATCTTAATTTCGAATTGAAGTCAAGTATTAACTTTTCTTCTTCTCATGTACATACTTAAGTTTTGAAATAAATTCTGTTTTATATTTTAAAAAATACAGGTCTACTAATAATAGGGCCCAAATTGTATATACATGTTATCCGACAATATTTGTTAGAAGACTTTGTATCAAAATTTAACAGAAAATCAGGCATCTTAAGCTTGTTTATATCGTAATTAAAAAATAAGGGATGTTGGATTTACAGGTACAATGAATTGCAGATCATAAGCATTAAGAAGAATAAAATGTCAAAACAACACTAAAAAAACAATTATCAATTTATTCAAAACCCTGCGTACAGGTAGAAAAGGACAGATTCTCCAGAACAAGGGTTTACACCAACACAGGGTCACACAGCAAACTTACCACCATTATGAAACAGAGTCAGTAGTGGTAAAACTGTATCTTGAATGGCCACACAAGCCCGGATTCGGCGTGACATACTCTTAATAAGACTTCCCAGGTCGTTTGGGGGAATTAAAGTTATTCCATTCCTTTTGCAATGCTGCTGCAAGTTCTTTGACATTCGCAGGTCCAAGCATGTCTAAGATATGCTTCATGGGGGAATGTCCGGACTAAGTATGGGTCATGGTAATATGATAATATTCTGGAGTTGGAGTTGGAGATAATCTGTAACGAGCCGAGCCCTTTGACATCTGGTATTGTCATCTTGAAAAATGAATCGGCGGCCATAAAGGCCTGGAAAAGACACAACATGCGTGTCAATATGTTGTCCCAATGGTACTGCCCTGGGAAACGTCCAGCAACAACATGTTAGTCTGTTCTGCCGGCAACATTGATGTTTAACCACATCATTACAGATTTATGCCTATACAGGTCATGTCAACTGATGTTAAAATCATGGGAACGTTCGTTACGTCGGATCCAAACTTGTGTCTGCTCAGGAAGTCAACAATGAATCTCGACTTGTTTGAGAACATTTTGTGTTCCATTGGCAATTCTCCCAGCGTTGATGGTGACGACATCATTAGGGATCACAAACTACAGTATCGCCTACTTTGTTGAACAGTTAATGAACTTCAGAGTATTTGTATGTGCAATAAGAATGGGTTGTAACAAAATACTTTTGCAATTGATCAATAATTATGAGTTCCATATTTATTGAAAAACCATTTGTCAATGATGCCAAAAAGCCTGGACGTTAATTTATTTTTGGGAAAGGTACTATATGAAGTTAAAAAGTCGGAAACTCGACTTTTTGAATTTGGTAACAAAAAAAATTATTTCACCTTTTCTTAATTTTTTTAAAAAGAATTTTTTAGTATCCACGTCTGATTTCCCCTACTTTTCAATTACCGGATATATTGTTGTACAGTACTTCAGTGAATATTTTAGTGAGAATTAAAGAAAAAAGTCTTTATGAAACATTTATTGAAACCTTTGGCGTATCTTTGTCTGTAAGAATACTTATGAAGATAAGGAATCCAGCATAGGTATAGTTATTCAAAATTGATTTTAATGGCTGTAAATAATCAAAAGAATATATTTCAATTGGATTTATGATGTTGAAGAATTTTCTCTTAAGAAAGGAATCTATGGGTATAACTTTGATTACAATGAGCAGAATTGAATCGCAATTTCTCTGAAAACAATCTAAAAAACGAGCATTACAACAAAGACTGTTTTGTTGTTTACTTTTCTTTAAGGACCGGTATTTAATTATCGCGTTACCTATCTGATATTTTTATATATTTACATTTGCAAATGTTTTCCCTTATATAACACTACTAAAAGGAATGCGTATCTACAACTGTATAAATACAGGTATGGGGTCAAGAGGTCATAGATGTGCGTATGGATAATCGTTTGACGTAATTTCTCAGTGACGTCATAAAGGGTCGACGCGCGTTCAGTGAATTACATACATGCCGTTGGGTTTAAAAAATAATGCATTTCACATGTTAAAAGTCACAATCAGGCAAATATAAAGTATGAATTAGTCACAAATGTAAATATAAGTAATAAGGTATCATTTTAAAACATCTATCGGGCTATAAATACGGGTCGGTACGAGATTAAATTCAACATAAAGCCCTTCGGGCTTTATGGAATTTAATCTCGTGACCGACCCGTATTTATATCCCGATAGAAGTTTAAAAATGATACCTTATTTCTTAAATACATCTAAACTAGTGAAGATAGAAAATAGATGGTTTTCATGTTACTCTTTTAACACGAGATATCTACATCCATCTGATGAATTAAATATCTAAAAGGCTTTCTGATATCATTGTCAACTACTTTTCAATAAAAATGAAACCGTAAATTTCCTAATGTTGTAATAATATTGGTCATTTGCAAACACTGCATGAAAAGTCGCGTTTAATATAATTTAATAAATTCGTTTACTCCAGTAAATTTCTTGTATTGAATTTAATTTATGTATAACGGTACATTTTACATGAGATATATTGTGATATAATTAAGTACAGTTTTCAAATAAGTATAATCATATTTAATGCAAAATACGTCGAGAATAATATAGTTTAATTGAGAAAATTATACGTTTCGTTTTAGAATATCGACATGTAAAAGTAAATATGCTTATACTTAAAGTTTAAATACATTTTTGGTGTTTTGAATATGTCATAAATAATTCTTTATACCTTATGTTGAAACATTTTTGAAAAAAAATATTTATGCACCCTATTTATTTTAATGTATTCATTTCTCATTTTTATTTATTTAACCCTTCTGTAGATTTTTCAAAACTGTGGAATATAACTTAGTTTTTTCTCTATCGACTACTAATGTAGTAAAATTACATCGGGATCGAAGTCGGGCTCGAAAAGCAATTACTTTAAAAATAACACACCGCGCCGAAATTCAATTTTTTGGAGGGTTCCACACAGCCATGTTGAACTTGATCATGATGTTGTACGGGAGGAAGGGGCGAAAGAGAGTGACGCTAAAAGGAGAAGCATAATTAACTTTGGATGGAATTTATGTTTTAACAGAAGATGAAGACATTTACATGTACGACCCTGTTTAGCGGTAGGAACAATGTACAAAATTTTATCACGTGTCCTTGAATGAATAATTGCCTCTGCTACTGATAATGTTACTGTTCCTTAGTCTGGGCTCTACACATAAAATGCCTGGCAGTAAAAACGTTTGGGCAAGCGCTATTTAAATTTTGTAATAATTATTTAACACTTTTAATCATCTCTCTTAAAGATGGATTTTAACCAGAATTTTCTCGTTTGGGATTGGTTTCAGAATTTTAGTCACTAAAGTGTTCCTCTGTTCAGCATTTACAGAGTGTGTTGTACAATGTAATAAAATATTTATTTATTTCTTAATGCATACTCAAGAATATATTCAGCACTCATTTTGATTATTTAAATAGTTGCAGTGTGGACTGTGCCTGAGACGATTCCCCACAGCGCCGGCTATGTAGACAGCTTGTGAAAATAGTGAGAACCATGCAGCTCAAATTTTTAATTAATACAAATTGAAATAAACTAACAATGTTTTTATTAACTTGTATATTTTAGCATAGCGAAGACTATGAAAAATATTGCAACAACTTGAAATGCTATATACCAAGTAAACAAGATGAGGTTTATATTCTTATTTTCCTTATTCTAAAAATACAATAGCAATGGATTCTGAGCTATGCATAATTTTTTTACGTTAAATACTGAAGCATGAATTATTAAAAATAGCTATCATATTCTATGATGCACAATTATGCATGCATTACTTACAGGAATCCAAATGCTCACAAGAAATGACAAAAGCAGCATAAAGATTAACACAAAGGTAAGATTTCTTAAATTTTCTGATAAGATCAATAAAATCACATGAATTTTTCTTGGCTCACCTGAGCCATTTTAAGACCCGAGCGAGTTTTCTGATCTGTGTCTGGTATTCGTCTGTCATCTATAAACTTTTCAAATTTTTACAGTCATGACAATTATTCCTAGTTTGAACAAAAAACCCTGCAAGATACATCTTTTCTTTCAGAAATTGTGCCAGAAAAGTTTGAAGTAGCTATGAGAATGATCAACATTGAACTTGCTGAGCCTTCCTTCTGAAAGTGACTTGACCAGATATTTGGCTACCTAGTATGAGGTACGAACTAATCATTTGCTGTACAACTTATTGTGTATGAGATTGCCACCATTTAGTGGAACTTTGCATTTGCTGTCCACTTTAAAAACCTGCTATTTACAGTGTAAGTTGTTAATATATTTTACTTTATGTTAAATCACTTGCTCATCATCCCAATAACTTGCATGTTGAATGCTGTAGATGCTAACCTTAGCATTTTTGTTTACTCTTAAAATCCATGTGTTCCGAGTATGTACATCCATTTCATATCATGTTTTGTCTTCTCTAAATTTAATCTAATACATATCATAATATGTACTAGATCACAAAGTTTAAGGATTTTATTATTGTATGAATGTTATCTACTTGCTCTAATCATAAATACAGCTGTTTGCATATTTTTTCTACAAGATGCCATACCTGCTTTTAATTTTTCATAATTTTTTTTTATCCATAGTATCTTTCTGCTACATTAAATAAAAATCGTGGAGGAACATGAAGAAAAGGGCTGCGCATCTCAGCATATTCAAGGTCAAGCAGGTAAATACATTGGTAAATTGCTCAAAAAAAAGTCACAAGTCCCCAATTTACATGTACTTCCACAAAATCTGTAGCTTGCTGCTGTGAAACTATATTTACGTGTGTCTTATTATGTTAAATGCTGTAAATGCTATTCTTTGCATTTTCGTAAACTTTGTAAATCTTCAAATTCCATGTGCTCGGACTACAGTACCATTATGTATGTTTCATATCATATTTTGTCATCTATAGATTTGATCTATACATATAATTATATGGTTTTTTATGCAATTTACTTAACTAGATGACACAGAGAAGTTTTTTTTATTCTGTAAAATGTTATCTTCTTGCTTTAGTCATGTTAGTCATAAGTATACCCTGTTTGTATATTTTTTTTTCTCCTTTTTTGTGTATTCTTTCTACGGAGAGCCATACCTGTTATTAATTTTTCATATTTTGTTTGTGACAGCTTTTTACCATATCCTTAGTATCTTGCTGCTAAATGAAAGAATTATTGTGGAGGAGCAGAGAAAATGGCACCTCAACATGTTCAAGGTCAAGCAGGTAATCATAGTGGAAAATGCTTAAAAAAAGATGGCGAAAAAATCATTAGTCCCCAATTTACATGTATAACAACATTAGCTCCAATATCTGTAGCTCGCTGGCCTGAAATTATAGATAATTATCTGTCTTTATTACCCAGACTTGAAAAAATGACATATCTTTTGTGGTCTTCTGTAAATATTTTAATTAAGCAAAATTGAGCTGTGTTTCCTCTAGGTCAATTGGTAATTTTACAATCAACTCAGATTTTGTGAACTATTTAATATATGCAATTGCATAAATCAGGAAGCACACATATAATATGTATATATAGGCAAATGGGTATTTATTTTTATGTTTGTTGTAGAAATTAGGAGCTAGATGTGCTTCTCCAGAGCTGAAAACTTCTTGGCATGAAGAGAAGAAAAATCAAGAAGAAGCAGTTTTAAATATTGATTACGTCTTCATAGTACAAAAAATGATTCTAAAGATAATACTATCTATGAAATTAGAAAACTGAAGTTGCGTTCTGATGAATGTAAGAAATAAAGTCTTCAAAGAACAGGACACCAAAAGTGCCACTCTCAAATCAAAGCACTCTAAAAGGCAGAGCATAAGAAGAACTAGGACAAATAAAGAATCTAAAAGAGTCAAACCTTTGGATGTAGTAATTGAACAGAGATGGGCTATTAGAGATGAAATATCTGAGTTGCTACTGTTTTGCACAAATGTGATGCTTTTTTTACTTATCTTTAATTGACACATTCAATGTTAGATAAGAAAAATATACCTAGTGTTGTATTTTTGACAGTGACATTTTTTTTCTGATACTTGATTACAGATTAAAACTGTTAAGTTTTTTATTGTTTAAACATTTATTGGTTTGTTGTGTAATCTGCAATCACATACATTTTAATCTTGATTTATATATTACATATATGTACAAGTCTAACTTAAATAATAAGTGCATGGATATTATTGTGGGAAAAAATAAGACAATCAAGGGTAGTCTGAAAGAGCTTTGCTGGCAGTAAGTTGCAGATCTTGATACCCAAGTAAGAGATAGGTGGTGTCTCTGACCGATCCTTTTGCTGTTGCTTGTGGGCGAGTGAGGCTTCTCTGTCAGTTGCTCAGTGAGTCATAGATGTAAAAAATAAAATAGGCAAATGAGGTAGAGACATTTCTGAGTAAAAAAAGGGTGAATTGTGATTTTAATAAATATTACAATTGATATTGCAAGAGTAATGAGAATTGCAAGAGTAAAATATTTTTTGTTTCCTTCAATTTGAAGTAAGACAGTTTAGGAATTATGAGTTATGGAATTGTAATTAAGGAAATTTGTTAAATATACTTGTACATATGTTTATACAGGACTTTTATATGTGCATGTTTCAGAGCTCATTCTTGATATTTTAAGGCAAAGTTAAAAATATCACTATTGAAATGTCTTGCATCAGCACATATATATCATCCATTATACGCTACTGTCTGTGGAGTATTAATGTCACTCTTTTAATTGATACCAGCTCCGACTTCTATACTCTCTTCCACTACACTCATATTTCAACTATTACATGCTGATATCAAGTGGTGTATTATATACCTTGCTGATTGATATCAGCTCCGGCTTCTAGTAGCTCTTTCACTACATTCGTATGTCCTTATCAACATGCTGCTGTTAATGGTGTTTCTGACTAATCTTCTAGAATGTTATCTGCTCCTGCTTCTAGTCGCTCCTTCACTACACTCATACTATGCTGCTGTCAGTGGTGTATCAAACCTACCTTGTAGATTGATATCAGCTCCGGCTTCTATAAGCTCCTTCACTACACTTCTGTGTCTACCCTTATATGCTGCAATCATCGGTGTATCAAACTTACCTTTTTGATTGATATCAGCTCGGGTCTCTATAAGCTCCTTCACTACACTCATATGTCCACCCTTATATGCTGCAATCAGCGGTGTATCATACTTACCTTTTTGATTGATATCAGCTCCGGTCTCTATAAGCTCCTTTACTACACTCAGATGTCCACCCTCATATGCTGCTGTTAGTGGTATATGAAACTTGCCTTGTGTATTGATATCAGCTTCGGCTTCTATAAGCTCCTTCAATACACTCCTGTGTCCACCCTTATATGCTGCTGTTTATGAAGTTTATGAAACTTACCTTCTTGATTGATATCAGCCCCGGCTTCTATAAGCTCCTTCACTAAACTCATATGTCCACCCTCATATGCTGCTGTTAGTGGTGTATGAAACTTGCCTTGTGTATTGATATCAGCTTCGGCTTCTATAAGCTCCTTCAATACACTCCTGTGTCCACCCTTATATGCTGCTGTTTATGAAGTTTATGAAACTTACCTTCTTGATTGATATCAGCCCCGGCTTCTATAAGCTCCTTCACTAAACTCATATGTCCACCCTCATATGCTGCTGTCAGTGGTGTATCAAACCAACCTTGTAGATTGATATCAGTTCCGGCTTCTATAAGCTCCTTCACTACACTAATATGTCCACCCTTACATGCTGCTGTCAGTGATGTATGAAACTCACCTAGTTGATTGATATCAGCTCCAGCTTCTATAAGCTCCTTCACTAAACTAGTATGTCCACCCTCACATGCTGCTGTCAGTGGTGTATCAAACCCACCTTGTTGATTGATATCGGCTCCGGTGTATATTAGCTCTTTCACTACACTTCTGTGTCCACCCTTATATGCTGCTGTTAGTGGTGTATGAAACTCACCTTGTTGATCGATATCAGCTCCAGCTTCTATAAGCTCCTTCACTACACTCATATGTCCACCTTCACGTGCTGCTGTTAGTGGTGTATTAGACTCACCTTGTTGATTGATATCAGCTTCAGCTTCTATAAGCTCCTTCACTACACTCATATGTCGACCTTCACATGCTGCTGTTAGCGGTGTATCAAACTCACCTTGTTGATTGATATCAGCTCCAGCTTCTATTAGCTCCTTCACTACACTCATATGTCCACCTTCACATGCTGCTGTAGCGGTGTATCAAACTTACCTTGTAGATTGATATCAGCTCCGGCTTCTATAAGCTCCATCACTAAACTCATATGTCCACCCTTACATGCTGCTGTCAGTGGTGTATCAAACTTACCTTGTAGATTGATATCAGCTCCGGCTTCTATAAGCTCCATCACCACATTCCTGTGTCCATCCTCACATGCTGCTGTCAGTGGTGCATCAAATCTACCTTGTAGATTGATATCAGCTCCAGCTTCTTTAAGCTCCTTCACTACACTCATATGTCCAACCATATATGCTGCTATCAGTGGTGTATAAAGCTTACTTTGTAGATTGATATCAGCTCCAGCTTCTATAAGCTCCTTCACTACACTCATATGTCCACCCACACATGCTGCTGTTAGTGGTGTATCAAACCAACCTTGTAGATTGATATCAGCTCCGGCTTCTATAAGCTCCTTCACTAAACTCATATGTCCACCCTCACATGCTACTGTCAGTGGTGTAGAAAACTTACCTTGCAGTTTGATATCAGCTCCGGCTTCTATAAGCTCTTTCACTACACTCATATGTCCAACCTTACATGCTGTTGTCAGTGGTGTATCATCAAACAAATATTTGTTTTTTTTGTTTTTCATTTTTATATCTACAAACTTGATTAAAATGTTAAGTCTCCAAATCACCACTGTAACAACTCAATACAAATAAGCGGTCATGTTCAAAAACAGACTGACTATGTTCCTGTTTTTGATTTGTTGTATCACAAATGGAGTTTGATAAAGATAATTTGACTGTTGCAATATATTTTTCAATGTTATTTTCTCTTTTTTTTTGCTTCATATATTAACCTGGGGCTAAAGGAATTCCAAAACAGTTCAATCTGTGTTTCTTTGTGTAATTCAGTTTGTTTTAAAATATAATATAGGATTCGACTGTGTCCGTAGTAAACCACCCAACTGATAACCCTCACACTGTATTTTATTTCACTATCATCAATCCTCTCATTCACCAGTACCTCCTGTCTGCGCCATTCCCTGCTCCTCTCATCCCACCTCTCAATCTTCTCCCTCACACGCTCTCCTTTACTCACAGCCTTAGATGCATCTTTCTGTTCTGACAAGAATAAAGCCTTTAACTCAGTGTAGGACTTTGTCTCTAACACCCCAATAAAAGCCTGACACACCTTAGGATGTTTCAAAACATTATTCATAAAAACATCATACAGCTCCATATTTTCTATGTCTCTGTACAAACGCTCTGCTAACATAGAGTACTGATCCTCTCTTAACCTAAGACTGAGATCAAACAAATCCTGGCTTAATGTTTCATGCTCCTCACCACTAAACTCTTCATTTTCAACTTGTTTACATTCAACCTCCAATTCTCCTTTACATTCTTGTATTTTCACGTTATTAGCAATGTAACCACTGCTAATATATTGCAAAAGAAGATCTGGAAACTGAGAACCAAAATGATATGAAAGGATTTCAAAGACAGAGTCATGAATAATGGTGTACTCAGTACCACAAAGTTTTGTGTAAGTCCCCTCCATAGCTGCCAATGCTTTTACAAATTTAAATGCATCAGTGTTTCTTTCAACTTTACAACATTCTAATAATTTTGATTTCATCTCCAAGAAAACGGCGTTTCCAGTGTTTTTCAATATTTCTTTTGATAGTTTATTGTCATTTAACATGCACAAAACCAATGTAGCATAGCATAAACTATTTTGCACTTGCATTTTATCACATTCGTCTAATATACATTCAGCTGGACGGGTAAAGAACCTTTCAACATTTTTTCTAAATTTCTCCTCTTTTGAATATAGTTTACACAACAGAGGAAACATATCCAATATTCCTCCGAGTAATATAGGGGACAACAAATCTCTATCCAAGCCGTGTTTCTGAAGGATCGCTTTTTTTATCTTCATTGTTCAATGCATTTTCGGAACTGTGCATCTTAATTGTGTTTTTTTCATTTGAGAAAAAGGATTTGTAACATTCATTAAACACTGCTTCCCTACATGAGATTAATACCTTTGTATTTCTATTGGACGGATCTGAAATTCTTTTTTCAAGGTCTATTAATGATTCTAACTTTTGTTTTTGCAGACCTAAAACACCTACCACATCATCAATGACAAAAACCTGTGGATGACGAGAGTCACAATAATCTTCAATCTTCCTGATGTCTATAATAGGTACTTCCACGTATCCTTCTTTTTGGAGTATCAGGGCTATGTGATGAATCGTTGCTGATTTTTCTGAGCCTGGGACACCAACAAATGTTGCTTTCTGACTTGACCCAACATTGCAGAAAAACTGTGGCTTTCACTGTAAACCCCATCTTCCTCTTTCCATTGAATGAGATCTTTTTCAAAAATATCTATAATAAATAGTTATAGCGAGTTATTTTATAATTTTTTCATCTTGTCAATAATGTAATTACCTGGCTTTCATAGTCATAAAACGTTTAACAAGGAAAAATAAGCAAATGCCTAACAAAGTATGGTGTACATGGCACTACATGCTTGTGGTTATTTTAAGAAAGATAAGTTTGCAGGATTGAATTTGAAGAAATGCTGTAATTTATGGATTTCTGAAGAATTTTAAAAGTTTTTAAATTTGAAAATCAATTATAATTTAACCATAAATTACATAGTCACCTAAATTTATTAAACTTTCTAATGTTAATTGATAAAGCCGATTTACATGTTAAAAAATATCCATATTTTCATTTTCACCTGCTTTCATCTAAATTATATCTTTAAAGAAATTTTCTATCTGAATTATGATATATTTGTTTACAAATGTTAACTTATTGTGAATCCATTGATGTATAATTCATAAAATGAATAAAATAATTGGAAGTCCCACATTTTAAACTTTAAAATCTGAAATGCATTCCTCCTACAGTTGGAAAATGCTTGGTATTGAAACTCGTAATAGGAAACAAGATTGTTCTGAAAGCAACACAAAAAGGTATCAATATTCAGTTTAACAAAAAGAGGTAAATTAGGATCACTTCAAAATTAAAAATTTTATAATAGAATTCTTGCATCAAAATTATTTTTTTTTAATTTTTATAAATAATTAAAAATTACATAATTTTTGGGACATTTTTTATATTTAAATTTTTCAAATCAGAGACAAATATGTTCGTTTGTTGTTTAACGTATTCCTTTTGAATTCGTCACTCATTTCGTGACGCAACCACTTGTTGGTGGATGGCTGTAAAATAAAACCTATACCAGGGCCTTTAAGCAGTGAGGGATCTTTTGCGAGCGGCTGAAGAAGTCTTATCGGACCAGTCTCTATGTCCCGTGGTGGATTAGAAACCGGGACATAAGGATCAGCTTTTTACGCCATGACTCTACAGCAGACACTCTAACCACTGAGTCATGCAGGCGACTGAGACAAATAATGTTAATCATCAAGAAAAAAATAAATTCTTTTACATATACCAAAGCAAAAAAATGTTGATTTTATAATATCTTATTCCTTGCACAATTCTGAAGGTAAAAAATAATTAATTCTGATTATGTATTTTAGAACGTTTATTGCCACCATGGAAATATAAACCATTATAATATATATACAGCTCCAAGCACTCTTTAAAAGCACAAGGGTTTTCGCACAAATTAAGGTCACATTGTTATGATGCAATATTGTGTTATGTAACGACAAAATATATTCTAGAAATAATTTATAACTTAATTTTGATTATATTCCATTACTTTAAACATAATTCACAAATAATAATTTGTAGGATTTTTATACACTCGTCAATGATATTTTATGAGAGTTTCCAAATGTTTTTTTTTCATTGTTTCTCGTCAAATACAACCACCTTTGTATCCGTTCATGTTAAAGCATACTTTTGCCTTGCCTTAATAGAAAAACAATGCAATTTTTTGTAATTTCTGTATGTTCTGTACATAAATATGACACTAAGGCTCAAGATGATATAAGTATTTCTCATCCGTTCGACTGCTTTCCATGTTAAAAAGATGAAATTTTAACTTCCTTAAATGTAGAATCTCGAAGAAACCTTCTTACACAAAATTAAAAATTTTCAGACCATAAATGTAAAACACTTTTCTTTACAATAATTACAATCTTCTATGCTGAGAGATAACCAGCACTTTTTTAAAATATCCAATCCTTTTACATGATTTCTTTACGCAGTTTTGTCATTTTTCGGCGCTGCATTTCGACAAAAGCAAGGCAAGTATGAAAAATGTGCAAAATACCTAGAAATGTACTTATTTGTAAGAAGTCAATTCGAACATTTCAACCAAATAGTATCAAAGAATGTTCGATTTATTAATTTGTAAATACCTATGATAGAATCATAAACATTTAACATCATACAATTTATAAACAAATCATTTTTAGGAACATTGACTTTTAAAACTTAAGATAATGATTGTATAGACAATGCACCTTTAACATGAAATATTCAATAATATAACGGCTGTGTCGCGTACTGAAACTCGATAATTTTAAGTTTTATTGCAAGAAAAATGTTATTTTAATTTGTGAAAAAAACCATGTGAGTTTAAAAAGTGTATTGAGCTGTACAAAATGTGGTTTTAACTGAAAAAAGTAAAGGTTAACTAACTTTGTGCAAATTATTTCACTTTGCCAGGTTTTTTTTTTGAAATCACCAACATACCTCTGACATTCGGAGGGATTACAGACTCTGGCGTTTTAATTTCATCTGAAAATAAAAATAATATGTGACTTTTTTTACGAATATTACTTTCTTTTTATTTATTTTATTTTATATCAAAAGGTATATTAAAACAGATTTGGGCTAAGTCTTGTCACTCGTCCGACAAAATACATGTTGCCATTGAATCCACTCCATAAATTATACAGGGACAATTACAAATGCGCATCCACTATATTTATTTTTGGTAGGTGTGGGTGGAAGTGCTGTAGAGCACAGGCACTTGTTTCAGAAATTTTTTTTTAACCTATAGTATAATAATAACACAAGGTATCTAGCTCCGAAATACACTCAGTACACCCCTCCTCAGAATAGCACTCATTTCAAATTTTAGCGGAAATGCAATGGCAATATGTTTATTACTAATGTCGTCTACGATAATTTATCTACACAATCATATGTGGCATGCATATCTCTGTTTTCGTTTATCTCCGTAAACAGCGTCAAACCCCTGCTCGCCGAATAGAAAAGTCAGACTACTCCATAGAACGGTATGTGCTAATCACGCACAGAGGTTTTGATTGGCTGAAATCTGCCTCTAAAATTACATCGAAAATATGCTGTAGTGGGTTATGGAAAATGAGACAAAATCAATTTTTTTTATTGAATGCATTATTTAAAATCTAGATTTTTTTTAACCCACTCATTTTTTAATTTTCTTTTTTACCCGAGATTAGCACATACTGGGGTAGTTTGACTTTTCCACTCCGTGACAATTTAATTGAGGATATCTTACTGAATCATTCTTTTAGTTATACACTAGTGGATATAAGCATCACCTAAATCAGCATAGATTAGAAACAATTAAGTATTTTTAAATACCTCGAGATACCTTAATTCGGAAAAGTCGTACCGAACTGCTTTGAGGTTCATTTATCTAAATCAAGGGTGGCGATATTTAAAACGACACTAGATTAATATGATGGCGGATCATCGATTGGCGCATTTGCCGCTTAATACTTTCACGCTGTTTTATCTGTTTTAAAAATTAAAAGAGGTTGTGTAGTTGCCTGAAGCCATGTGCACAGTGAACAAACTAATAAAATTGCACTTATCATTTAAAAAAATACAATAAGGATTGATATTACTTCTTTTTTTTAATTTTGAAATCAAAGAAGAGTATTTAGATGCATGACTTCAATACCTGTTTCATTGAATTATATAAATGTAAAAATATTGACACTTTTATAACAATGTGCATTAAACTCTTTTATCCTCTAGCGTTCCTTAAACCAAATACACACAAACATCTCTAAGCGGCACATCTCGAATGATGCAAACTTAATTGTTTGGTTGTATAGTGAGCACAATAGAGGAATGTTTTACACACTGAATTGTCGACGGATATTTTCGTTATTCCACGATCTTCACAAGGAACACACTGCGGTCTGACCAGTAGGAAGGGGATGCGCACGTGGGTGTTTTGCTCCTATTTTGTATTGCTTAATGGACATTTGAGCTTGAATACTGTTTGTTATCTTCATATATTTCATGGATGTGGAAGCATCATTAGTAAGCTTAAAATCAAGTCCCCCTCTTCTATATAAACCTTTCAATACTGAACTGGTTTTTGCTATTTTACTAGCTATTGTGCTCAGGTGAGATATGTGGCCCATGGTTTAATTAGTTTCCGTGCAAAATGTAAATAATGTAAATGACAGGAGATTATATTTTCATTACAATATGTGTTTGTGAAACACTGATGCCCCGATATGGCACATAGTGAAGATTAAACTTTTCTTAAATGCAAATTTATCATATTGGTACCCTAAGTAGGTAATGATGAAAATTCAATTGTGACACATGAAAGCCCTATCACCATCTGTTCCCAAATTATGGCAAGACTAAAGTTTTTTCATAAGTACATAAATCATCAAGGTCAGAAGGTCAAGGTTATTGGTATTCAATGAAAGGTATTTCCACAAAAAACACATGCGTGAAGTATTAAGGCCCTAGTCCTAACCCTTCAAAAGTAATGGCCAAGGTTGAAAAGACTGTAAAAGAAAGTTAAACTCCAAGATCAAGGTCAGAAGGTGAAGGTTATTGGTATTGAATGAAAGATCTTGTCACAAGAATAGCATATGTGAAGTTTGAATGCCCTTACTTTTCAAAAGTTATTGCCAAGGTTGATGTTGTTTCATAGGTCCGAAATCTCTTAGGTCAAGGTAAAAAAGCCAAGGTTATTGGTAATTAGTAAAAGGACTTGCCTCAAAGAATAATTATGTGAAGCGCTAACCATTAATAGGTTAATATATTTTCAGAAGTTAAGAAATCTTCAACGTCAAGGTCAAAAGGTCAAGGTTATTGGTATCCAATAGATACTCTTGCCAAAAAAAATACATATGTGAAATATGGAAGCTCTAGCCCTAACCGGTCAAAAGTTATGGCCTAGGTTAAATTCTTTTAAAAGTATGTCAAACTCTAAGGTCAAGGTCAAAGGTCTGGATATTTAATGAAAGGGCTTGTCAGAAGGAGCAAAGAAGATAAAGTATGAAAGCACTAGCTATAACCCTTTAAAAGATATGGTCAAGGTTTGTTTTTTAAAAGTAGGTCAAACTCGAAGGTCAAGGTCAAACGGTCAGAGCTCATGGTATCCAAAAATGCGTCTTCTTACAAGAATTACATATGTTAAGTATGAAAGCTCTAGCCTTTACCGATCAAAAGTTATTGCCATGGTATGTAAATCTCCAAGATCAAGGTTTGTGATACCCAATGAAAGGACTCGCATCAAAAATATAAATATGAAGTATAAATGTCCTGGTGTCTACTGTTCAAAAGTTATGGCCGAAGTAAAAGTTTGGCATTTTTGTGTAAAAGTGGATCAAACTCCAATTTAAGGCCAAGGTCAAAAGGTCAAATTTTGTGGTAAAACAGAAATGTCTTGTCACAAAGAATATACATGTAAATTGTGCAAGACATAGCTCCACTAAATCAAAAGTTATGGACAAGGTTTAAGTTTTTTGTGGACAAACAGAGAGACATAGAGGCAGACAGAGAGACAGACAGGCGGACACGACAAAAACTATTTGTCTCTGTGCAAATGGCTACTGGAAACAAAATTAGAGTACGAAAAAACAAAAATTTGATCGTGGAACTATTTTTCCGGATTTGTCTCCGCATTATACACATTTAAAAAAACAATAAAATCTTATGATTATATGCGACTATCTCAAAACCGATGTGCAAGGACCCGAATGAATGTAATGATTGCTTATTACTCACATTCCTAAGTACCACAAAACAACTATCACTCCTCCATGGCTCGGCCACCCCTTTTCATCTATTGCTTTAAAACCCCTAACCCTAACCCAACTTTATTGTTTATTTTGACAAGATTTCTTTGACAAATTAGCTTTTAAAGTATAAATATATTCAAGTTTAAATAAGAAGTCTGAAAATCTATATCTACATTTTAACCTAACCCTAACCCTAACCCTAACCCTAAATCTACATTGAAAATTATGAAATGTCAGAAATGCCAACCGAACCTGAGCTATATGCTTTAGATATCAAAGATTCGAATTTGACATCTTTAAAACGTAAAAAACAAATTTTGGGTTGAATGACATTTCTCTTCCAAGCATTTTAAAAAATGTTATTTTTATCAATAAAAATGGTAATCCAGTTTTTTTCTTTAAACATAAATGTACTTACCAACAATTTTTAGCATTTTATTGTGATTTTCAATTCTGTCCGTTTCACTCTCTTCTAATTTTCCTGGAAATCAAAAAAGTATAAAATGAGCAATGACCGCAGAAACAAATTCAAACACTGTTTTATAAAAGATTTATATATATAAGTTAAATGTCAAACTTTGTCGTCTTAATTACGTTTCAGGCCTTGGACCATTTTTCTAGTTTCTGCATCTTCTTCAGCCTGTGTTCTTAGTTGTTCTATGTAATGGCAGTCACGGACAGGGTCCATTGTCTCATGTCTCAAAAAGTCCACCTCTCTTTTAAACTGGTTCCCGTTATTAAGAAAAGAGTCAAGGTCCACAACTGCTGATCTCACAGTGGACCAGATTGTGTTAAAATCAGCATTGGAGAGGACGGGACTAGAAGAATGTACACACTGATTTCTGGCTTTACGAATTCTCTCAATGTTGGCAGAGAGAGATCGATCTTTAGAGTCTGGATCATTTCCCCAGCCATTGTTATGAGGAGGTATGCCACAAATGTTTCTTAGTAGTGTGTATAATAAGGAAATGTCCATATTACCATAGTTTCCTGTATAAAAACTACCTCTAGGTAAAATAAGATTCATCTGTTGAGCTGTCAGACGGGGGAGATTACTCCTCTTTTGTTTGATGACGTGGGGAAATGTTGACAGTGGTACATGGTGAAGTCAAACATCACATCTGTACACGGACCCAAGAGAAGTCGACAGGCTCTACAGGCATTTGTCGTCTCCTCTGTAGACGCGTAAGGGGAGGAAGCCATAGCATTTATTTGGTGCTTCTCTGAAATGTAACAAAACCCCCATACTTTAACAATAAACAAATAAATCAAAACTATCTTCATAGAACTTCACATTGCTTATCCACTAAGGTAACTAGGAAAATGGTTAGTACATTAAAATACTTTTCACTGATTTCAGCCTCTTTGCTAGAGTACCATACTGCAAATTTACTGTCCAGTCATAAACTTATGCTAGTTTATTTTTTATGTTTTTGTTTAATAGAAAAGGTAAGGCTACACCAATTCAAGAATTAAAATAGTTTGTCAAAAGGAACATTTATCTTTGTATTATTGTTACTTTGTGTACATAGTGACAAACCTGCATGTCATATGTGACCTTTAAACCTTCAAATACTCCTCGAAGATATACGGCAAAGTTATATTTTTTATGTCTAAATTGCCTAAGGTAAGTTTCAGTGCATTTATTCAGTAGCAACCGTGTCTCCATTAAATATGTTTTTCTTGTAGTTATGGATAAAATTTAATAATATTGAACGTGTAACCTTAACAATGATTACAATAGATTAGACTCAGTGTACACTTTGGAATACAATGTATAAGGTAAGTCTTATTAGGTAGGAACCTCATAACTATTGCTATGTCTTTGCATATATCATCTATTAACGTTAACGGATTAAGGGATAAAAGAAAGCGAATGTGTATATTTTCATGGTTGAGCAAGCGTACCTGTAAATATGATGTAGTTTGTTTACAAGAGACTCACGGAACTGATCTAGATACCGAGAGATGGAAACATGAATGGAAAGAATTTAACGGTACTAATTCTATATGGAATAACTGGTCTAGTGAATCACGTGGTGTTGGGATATATTATTTATGAAAAACAATGAATTAAAAGTTAGCGATGTAATATTCGACAAAGATGGACGGGAAATAGACATATGCCTTATGATAAAAACAATAAAAATTGGACTTAAAAATATTTATGCACCAAATTTTGTGAATGAAAGAAAATCATTTTTTAAACATCTGACCTTTAATAATTTAGATTATAAAATAATATGCGGTGACTTTAATTGTGCTATAGATAAAAATATGGATAGGCATCCAATTCCAGTTAAAAATGATCCTAGTAAAGATGAACTCGTTAAATTTCTTAGAGATAACGAACTAGAAGATATTTGGCGAGAAAGACACTTAGTGAGAAGATGCTATACGTTCCATAGATGTAATTCTAAGTCTAGAATCGATTATTTTCTTATTAGTGAAAATTTATCACATAAAATCAAAAATACAAGAATCACACATTTTCCACTAAGCGATCATGATCTTGTTTCGATAAAGTTACATGTAGAAGAAGTCGAACGAGGCCCAGGGGTATGGGCAATGAATGTAAAAACTATTTTAAGAGAAGATTTCAAGAAAACATTTACTGAATTTTGGAATTATCACAAATTAAGTCTAGAAAAATATGATAATGTTCATGAATGGTGGGATATGACAAATAATAAAATAAAATCAATCTGTATAGAGTTATCCAAAACCTATAATACTAGCAAGAAAAAATGTGAAAAATTAGAAAAAGAAATTGAAAGCATAAAAATAACCCTAATACGGATAAAGAATATTTGAATGCGATTGAGCAAAACTAAAGGATATCTTGAAAGAAAAAAACAGAAGCGGCAATCCTGAGATCTAAATGCAAGTGGTTTTCTGAAGGAGAAGTGCCCTCCTTTTATTTCTTTCAATTAGAGAAAAAAAAAATGGTGAAAACAAATTATGGGTAAGAATGAAATGTTATGACGGGACATATAAAACAGATATTGATTCTATAATTGAGGAACAAATAAAATTTTACAAAGAATTATTAAACACCGAAGGGTGCAACCCAGAAAATGGAGATAAATTGTTAAAAGATGTTTATAGTAAACTTAACACTGAGGAAAAAGAAATGCTTGATCGCAATATGAATGAAGAAGAAATTCATAACGCAATAAGGCCAGAGTTTTTTTTATTTTCTGTTTAACGGGAATTTTTAAGAAAAAGTTGGGTCGAGGGGACGAAATAAAAATAAAAATAAAAGATCAAAATTTGTCGAGTCGGGGCCATAATAAAAATAAAACCAAAAAATGGTGTGAATTTTTTTTCATTTAAATGTTGAAAAACGAAAGAAAACACAACACAATTTTGTTTACAATGTATTAGGATTTCAAATACGGATAAAAAGATACAACTGCATAAGTTATCCTACTGTGGTTAATCACACTTGCACATTTATTCTAGTATGAAAGCAAATCAATATAATATTATAATTTAAATTTGTTATACAGCAACAATAATGTTGGATAGACGCAGATGACAGAAAAACCACACTGCTTAAAATTTTACACAGGTCTTCAAGTGATCATCTATCTATTGTATAAAATTTATAAAAGTCATGATAAAAAATGTTTTCAGCTACATGTATATTATGATTTAACAGAAGTTAAAAAAGCAATGGGTTTGATAGCTAACTTGACAATACTATCTTAGTTTAAAGGGATAACACATTTTTGAGGTTACGAATGGAAATTTGTCAGCTGAACTTTTTGATGAACAACAGCAAAGTCATCGTGGACCAGGAAGTCTTCTGAACTCTTCATAAATGGTTGCATGGGTCTCTGCCAAGAAATCAAACTTCAAAAGAAATTCCTTTATGAATATGATACTTTATTAGATAATCGTATACATGTAGTAATGGTAGAAAGTAGAAGATAAAAAAACATATTTACATGAGATTATTTTCTTTTCTAAAAGAAGATCCAAAATATTTTATATGAGTTTTTTCTTAGATAAAAAATAACTTTAATAGAGTCTATATTAAAATCGTTCTTTGTCCATGTTGCACTAAAAGTATTAAATCGTCCACTTCTTTCTATCCCTACCTTTACACATGATATGTGCAACTCCAATATAGCTGTCTCTTCACTTTTCAGTATTCTATGCCAACTCTTGAAATTGTGTAGGAATCCTAGCCTCATTTTATTCAACCAATTTGACATGGACTCGGATCTAAAATATTTTAATCATCATTTTTATGTCCCTGATATTATAATAGTTAGACACAATTCATTGCAAAATAAAAATTTTACCGCGTCGAATTTTACTTCAACTTTTTATGTACCATATGTGATTAAATTAAATCTAGAATTTAAACATCTTTAAAAGAAAAAAAACACACGCAGCACAGTTAAGGTTACAAATGGAAATATCGGCGATTTTTTAAGATAAAAAATACATACTTTATTAGGATGGGCGAATCTTTTTAGGAATTCACTGATATAAAAAAAATTTAATGTGCTTTAAATCTACATGTTGAGGACATTTAGATTTTTTATTTAGACTTGTCATTTGATGTCGAGGTCACATGACTTTGGCAATTAAACTTGCAGTTTAGAGGTCATCTATAAATTTCAATATTGCAAGGGCATAACCAAGCTAAAAATCTTAGTTTAGTTTATAATCCTTTTCAACACTATATGTAGATTGTGAAAAATGCTGCGAACCTATATAGATTCCCTTTTTTAATTGGTAAAATTTAATTTGTTGGACGGCAGGTTGAATATTTTGCTGGTCAATTACATTAAATATAGCTATAATTAATTAATTTGCAAGATTTCAAGAGGTTCGCATCACTTTTCAAATATCTTAATGCTTCTTGAATTTATGTGTAAAATTTTGACAAGATACATTGAGGGTATGCCCTTGCAATAAATCGATTTATTAGGGCCCTTACATTACTTTTACAATGAATCTGCATACAAACACACGACAGTATCGCTTGTTTGATAAATGCACGTACAGTTTATGAATAAAATACTAAAATAAACATCGCATCCAAGCTAATGGCTTTTTATTTTACCGCAAATATTTTTTTATTTGAGAACAAAAGACATTTTTCATTGTAAAAAATGTGACTTGATCAGCCTCTGACTGTGTAAAAACTGCGTCATTTTTGCGAGATGACGTCACATTGACAAGAGCATTGCGATCGATGCATCGTTTATATACTGTTGTGTGGGATTTAACAGACGACAAAACTGCATGTAATAGTAAGTTTGTATGTAGTTTACAGCTATCCAGCTGTTTAAAATAGCAAATAATTTCATTTTGTGGTATTTTGAAGACATTATATTATGCGTGACGTCATAGTAAACATTTCCCGTACAAATTAGGCCCCGCCTCCTTACTGTAACCTTAACTGTGCTGCGCATATAAAAATGCCAAACACTGAAAAAAAATTAACAGAAAGTTTATATCGACGTCTCAAAACTTACCCCAACTATCTGGACACATGCTTCCACGGTTTAATGTGCATCTGGTGTATTTAGGTTGTCAATGCTTTAACTCCCATTTCAAGAACTTTCTTGTTTTCATCATCAATGGATTTAAAATTACCGTCTATAAATGTCTTGAAATGATATTCTTGCTTGTTGATCATGTTGATAGAACCCGGGAAGTGTGATAAACTAGTTCCTTAAACTAGTTACGACATCGTAATCAGCAAGACGCTCACTAAAGACTTTGATTAACACAAGCTATGTCAAACGTTTACATGATTCTTTAGAAATAAGGTGTACATCAAACCCGATTTTATTTCAAAACATCAAAGAAGGACACAGTCGGCGGGTATTTTGAAAATAAAAGTGAAATTGAACTCTTTTATTTTTATTCGGTATTTTGAAAAAATGGGATCGGCGCTTCCCGTTAAACAGAAAATAAAAAAAACTATGGCCTAATGTCATTAAAAATTAATAAATCACCAGGGGAAGATGGTATTACTTCAAATTTTTACCAAATTTATTGGGATGTTATTAAAGACGAATTTATCAAAGTAATTAAACATATCTTTAACCACAATTTACTTTGCGACTCCCAAACGAAAGGCATTTTATCCCTAATTCACAGAGGGGGGGGGGGCGAAAATATAAAGAATTGGAGACCTCTGACAATGTTAAATACAGACTATAAAATAATTGCAAAAATACTTGCTGAAAGTTTAAATCTGTTCTGCCAAAACTTATACATCCTGATCAAAAAGGTTTTGTAAAGGGAAGAAATATAAGCGATGCCAATAGAATTATACAAGATATTATTGATTTCGCAGATAATGAAGACTTAGAAGGAGCAATATTTGTTCTTGATCAACAAAAAGCATTCGATAGATTAGAATGGGAATGGTTGGACTCTACCTTAAAAAACTTTAATATTGGAAATAAATACTGCAACTGGATAAAAATGTTGTTAATAAATGCATAAACCTGCATTAAAACAAATGGGTTCCTCTCTAAATACTTTACAATATCAAGATCAACTAGACAAGGGTGTCCTATAGCTCCCTTGCTATATGTATTACAAATAGAACCTTTGGCTTGCGCCATACGCCAAAATCCCAACATTAAAGGTACATATATTCCTAATAATAATCAGCACATTGAATGCAAAATCAATATGTTTGCTGATGATACCCAGTTGTTCAATAAAGACGAAGAATCTATAGAAGAATCCTTTAAAATCTTAGAAATTTATGAAAAAGCATCAGGCGCAAAAATAAATTTTGCTAAAACAAAGGGCTTATATATTGGAAAATCAAGGAGTAAAAAACCTAAATTCAATAAAATTCAGTGGACCACAACGCATGTTAAAACCTTAGGTGTGAACCACGGATACGATATTGATATTGAAGCTATATGGATGGAAAAAATAACCTATTGCCTTCATGTTTGGAAAACTAGAAATTAGACTTTTAAAGGAAATATTAATAATTAAAAATCTTGTAATTCCTATTATTGGTTATAAAATTGAAATGAGAGGCATACTAAATATTTACAGTAAAAAAATTAATGACATTATCTGGTCTTATATATGGGATCAGAAAGTAAACAAAGTAGATAGAAGTGTTTGTTGCCTTAGTAAAGCTGAGGGGGGATTAGACATGATAAATTTATTTACATTAATTAAAAGTAAACAAATTAAAACAATGTACAATATAATGCAATATGAACTTGAAAACTGGAATGCTATAGGAAAGCTCTGGCTAAAAAGTAAAGATATTCATCCAAAACAGGAATACTTTATTTTCAATTGCTCTGATCTTACGAACATATCTCTTAATAAACTACCCACATTTTATAAAAATGCATTATTGGCATACAGTGAATTTAGATCACACTTTCCACTAGAAAGCAAAGATGAAGTTTTGAAATGTCAGATTTTTGGAAATAAAGATATACAATTTCGAGGCAAAAGCTAATATATAGTCTTTTATTAAATGTGGTCTACGAACTATTGGAGATATTTGGGATAATGATACCAAGACTTTTTAAGACTAATGCTTACATATTTTCAAAACTACTTGATAAAAGGAGTTGGATTTTTGAATACAGTAAAATAAAAACCGCTATACCTAAAACCTATCTTGACATTCTAGAAGGGAGAAATACTGTAAATAGAATAGATAATGAAACAAATAATTTTTTTGTGATGTGTTTTATTTTTTTATTTGTAAGAAAAACAAACAAGTTAATATATTTTGAAGATATAAAACTCAAAGATATACAAAGAGTATTAAACAAAAACATCACTCCAAAATCCCAACAAAAATGGGAGAAACTGATTCAAATTGAAATTACATGGAAAAAGATTTGGGGCTCAATTTATGAAGTTAGGTTAAAACAAAAGATTCAAGAATTTCAATGGAAATGTCATAACATCTTATACACTGAAGAAAAATTAAGCAAAATGGGTTTTTCAAATGGTAATTGTTTTTTCTGTAAATCAAATATTGAGAGTCTGAAACATCTATTTTATGAATGTAATCATGTCAAACCACTTTTAGTATTGGTACAAAATATAATGTTAAAAATCTCTGTAGTAAATCCAGTCAAAGTTGATGTATGTATTGTTTTATTGGGATTCGCAGGAGAACCCAGAAATGTTCGAATATGTATTAACACCTTGATTTATATATACAAGTGGTCAATATGGAAAACAAGAAACAGCATTAAGTATGAAAATAAAAATATTACAAATTCAGCACTCTTGAGCGATTTCAAGAAAGACATGAAATCAATCTTTCAACTTTTAAGAAATAATAAGAGTAACTTCAACAGAAATTTAAAATTAACATTAGATATGATTACAGACTTTGATTAACTGTAACCTGTTTTCCTAAGTACAGATTTATATAATAATGCAATGATGTTTTCATAGTTATATATTTAAATTTTATTGTCATATTTTCACCAAAACTGATTCCATGTTTAAATATACCTATATTATTTGATTTATAATATGTATTAGATGTAAAATTATGCGTTACTTTGTATTTAAATAATAAAGCACCCTGCGTGGTGCTGTAGAGATTATTATTATGTATTGTTATAGAGGGAGCTTAGTAAGGGCCCCATCCCTGGCAGCTGCCCAACTTATCAGCTGTTAACTGTTATAGGTCTGGGAAATAAATGATGAGAAAAAAAAAAATCATTTCAATCGATCATATAGACTGCTTGTTGTCAGCGTTTTTCAAAATTGGAACTAATTGATAAAACCCTCCATTCGTGAATCAAAATTGTTTTTCGAAACCGAAAGTAGACTTTTAATCAATTTATAATTACCATTCAAATTGTTAATGGACCTTATCTTATGCCTAACGTCATTTTCTTTCGTCACCTGTAAACACTACGAGATATATATTGACGTCGTCAGTATTGCACTGACAGTAGATGAATGAAATACAAGTTTAATTTCACCGGGGTCTAATATTGCCGACGCAAACTCTTCTTTTATAACATCATTTTAACGGCTGAAATTCATAGAACACTAAAAGGGTGTCACTCCTGTTCCCCATTGCAATTTCAGACATTGATTTAAATGATATAAACTTAAGAAATGAAAAACTGTTCACGGCTTGTCTTCTCAAGAAATGACAGCTGGCGGATTTTGTCATAATCTCATGACAAATAGTCTTTTTAAGTGCTTAATTTTAAAGGTTTCTAACAAAGGTACAGTCTTGGAACTTAACGCGTGTCCTGCCTGTTAATTTTACCATTCCAAAATGTAACATTTTCAATTGTCCCTCGCTTTCGCAAAAGAGAGGGAACATGAAATCTCATGTCTGTCCGTCCGTCAGTCTGTCTGTCTTACTGCCCGTCACGAAAACTTTAACCTTGCCAATAACTTGATTAAGTGCAGCTATGATTTACATGTGTATTCCTTGTGACAAGACCTTTCTTTGGGTACCACCAAATTTGACCTTTTGACCTTGGAATTTGACCCACTTTTACTAAAAAATTCCAAATTTTTTTTTTAGCCGTAACTTTTGAACGGTAAATACTATGACTTTCACATTTCATATATGTATTCCTTTAGACAAGACCTTCTATTTGATACCAACAATTTTAACCCTTTGGCCTTGACATTAGACCTTCCTTTAAGAAACCTTAAACCTTTGCCATAACTTTAGAATGGTTAAGGTTAGGGCTTTCACACTTCACATTAATTTCCCTAACTTTTAACATTCCAAAATGTTAACACTTATAAATGTAATTTCCATCAAATTATATATATTTCGTCATTATTCCTAAAATTTTCGAAATATAAGCACTCTCACTGATTCAATTAGGTGAATTGCATTAGGTTTATTTAGTACGTTATAATAAACTATACTCGTGTGTACTTACCTCGTACAGATCGTACATTGCAGACAAATGTTGTTTTAGAGTTTTTGCATTTCCTATAAGGAGACTAATACTCTTTGATTCCAAGTAACTGCATCTTTGATTTATCTAAGAGCAGTTCCCGTTCCGTAGAAAGCAATAATTTCACTTTGGTGTCATAGCCATATATATTCAGTTTAAGGCACTAACAACTACCAAAAAATATATTGTCAGTCAAGAAAAAGGTCAACAGATATTTTTTATTGAGGAGGGGTGCGGGGGCACAAGCATATACTATAGTAGCTATGATTCTGTAGAATACTATATACCGGCAACATCATTGTGGCAAGCCCCCGTGCCGCCACTCCCATCCCTGGGTTTCTTCAACCATGAAGAGGAATATATAATATTTTTGTCGGACTAAAATGTTTTTCTGCTCTGCTAAACTAGTAATGTTATAATATACTTAAGCAAGTAACGTGTACTTTATGTACTCCAAGTACCAGAGTAACCTATAATTTATAAATGTCACTTTTGATTTTGATGTTGTTTGACAAAATATCATTATTAAAAATTGATTAATTTTTCTATTGCTGGATATCAAGAAGTCGGATCTGCCACAACAACATATTGATG